ATGAGGGAGAAGCGTTCGATCCCGAGATCGTTTTCGTCATCTGTGCGCCAAATTAGAATATTTTGGGATAAGAGGAATGGCCGGATCCGTCCGCCAGGGACCGTGTCCCTGAATGACGTCGAGGGAATGAAACGGAAAAAGAAATGGGAAGAGTTCATGAACGCCGCCTGCAAAATGACACCTGATTCCAGTCTCATGAACTCGTCCCTGGAGAACGACTACTGCAAGGACTGGACGAACAAGATGCGCGGATACATGAATCTTGCGCAATGTGGCGAAACAGTATGGCCACTAGTACAGAAATTCTTCGACATGTACGAGAAGGGGCTATTGCCACGAGTCGACGGTGTGAGATACATCGACCTGCCGGGGAAAGTGGAAGGGAGGCTGCCTGGGCAATACTTCCTCAAGGACAACTCCGGCAAAAAAGTCATGTTCCACTGCATCAAGGCCAGAAAGGGGCCACAAGGCGCAACAGTGTCTACACCTAACTTGACGCCGACAATCTTCAAGCTGTTCGGCGATATGACAGCGAGAGAGAAGCAAGTGGCGCTTCACCACATGATGCGTGGTGATGTCATCGTGACATCACGTTCGGTACCKYGTGGTAGATGCAACATGGMGGACCTGGTTAAATATACTCGGCGTGAAAGATATATGGTCCGTATGTTCAACTACATATTGTTCAAGGCCGAGGGGAGGTCAAAAGAAGAGTGGAGCGCTGACTTTTTCATCGGTTATACGACCATCTTGGAGAGAGCAAAAACGGTCTGACGGACGAGAAATGGACCGAGGAACGCGACCGCATCCCTGACGACACGGCGAGGAAGGTGCCGAGGCGTTTGGGCGGTCCTGATGAGATTAATGGTGAGAACGGTACGGGACTGGAGGCAACCCAAGGCATGTACAAGGAAACCCCGTTCCACCTCAAGTGTTTCATCTACGAGGCAATCGACTGCTTGGACGACCAGAGAGCGGAGGTTAATCGGATATCCTGCAGTGCTTATCACATCTTTTGGGAAGTGGGGAAGAGGACTACCACGATCCTGCCATTTAAAATAGAACCGAAGGGAGTGCTCACCGACAACGAGGAGGTTGTTGGTACGGCAAGGGGGATGAAGATACGGGCAACCATTCTTGATATGTCAACATCACCGAAATGTGTTCCATGGGATGATAACGCTGTTTCCAAACTGTACGCTTTCCTCATGACATGCTGTGGCGAAAACTGGGCCTCGATCATTTTCTCGCCGATGAAACACCAGAAACAGGTGATGCAGAGTGTGTACAACTGGGATGATGTTGAGGTGCTCACAGGGTCATGGTACAGACACTATACACCTTCGACAACCTTGAACAAGTACGGCAACATTGCAGTTCGGTACACTGACATGATGGCTATTGGACATGATGGCTATTGTCCTCCACGCCGAGAACGACAATTTGGACAATATAACGGTTGTGCCGAAATTGCGAGCCGAGTTGACAAATTTGAACGTTGAAGAGGGTGAATTTGTGAGGTGCTCAGGGGAGTGTATCGGCGTGGAGGGCGACACCAACGCGGTTTATTCTTGGATGGAACGAGAGCCAGCACGTCTCCGAAAACTGTGCAGCTCGTTCATCAGGGAGGACGATGGCGTGATGTTGTTGGGCAGGGCGCATGCGGGACTGATTTGGGAACTCGCTCGCGTCGGACACCACGTGTTTGCGTGTGACGACACGACAAAAGAGCTCACATACCTTTCCAAGTTTTTGGAGTTTTATGTGAAGGATCCGAGGAACAAATGCAGGCTCGAAAAGCCCCAAGTCGAGCACCGCAAGGACCGGGACATTTACTATAAGCTCGGCAGGAAGAGGGAGAACGTGTGGGCTTACTTGTTCGGTGACGCTCCACGGACGGCGGTTGATAACGACTACGTCATCAGGAAAAGTGAACTCGAGATAAAAATGAACGAGTACCACGGATCGCACATGGGTGCTTTCCACATTTTCGTAGCGGGGAACTTCAACAACATCGATTGTGACGAAGACACGTCAGACTCCGACCTGGACGTTCCGTCGCACGCGACACGACGTTCGGCGCAGGGAGCACGTGTCGAGGAACCGCAAGGGAGCACCAACGCAGAAGCGGAGAAGGCGAGGTCGAGTTTGGAAGCGACACATGCTAGTGATGGAGACGTGGAACATAGAATGAATGCAAGGGGAGAAAAGAATGGTGTACCAACGAACCCGGTGGGTGCGAGTGAGGGAATTGTTAACTCACGGGGCAACACAGGGGGAGGAGAGAATGGGTGTGAAATGACCCCGCCGACAGCTGGACCATCATCGACACATGCACCGCAGGCCGAGCAGCGAACGCTCACGTCGATGGACACACATGAAGATGAAGACATGGATATGATAGCAGTCATGCCGAAGCTCGTGCCAGGAAAACCGTTACCTCAAGGCTTTRCTCAAGACCCTTCAGTGCCATACTTGCTACAAGACAAGTACAAGGAGTCATTGGAGGAGTACTGGGGTCATCATATTCTCTGGCATGAGGGCGTGTTCGAACCGTGCGTGTTTGCGGGCAAGTGGCAAATGGTTGTGAAGACAAGAGACCGCGGGTGGGTCGCGAAGGAAAGAAAGGATGCTGCGATATGGCACAGAGTGACGGAGACGCAACTTTTTCGGCGGGTTGCACAAGAAAATGTCGGTGCAACCGACGTGGCTGTAGCGGCAAAGGCGAAAGCTTTGTTTGAGCAACTGCGTGCGAACAAACAACTAGAATTCAGCACAAAGTTCTACGACCTTGCATCAAGTGTGTCGTACGGCTCCATCGATTGGAAAATCAAACAAGCGTCAGCAGTGCAAGGAATCCATAGCATCACCTCTCTAAAGACTCAAGACGTCATCGCGTCTAACACCATCGTTGCGATGGCCAGAGGGGATGCAGGCAGCGAAACGGACACACGTGCGAACGCAGGTCACATACAGAATGAACAGTTGCGAGCATGTATTCAACAAAGCACACATAGAAGCGCAATGGGGGATTCCACTATGATACGCAAGGACGGCGACAACATGGAGTCGGGCACATTGACAGAGCCGCCAACGTGCGGGGTCGACGATGGGGCAACAATCGTTGGATCTTTCGGGTCTCTTGTCGCGACAGTGGCGGCGAGGCAAGGCGTATCTGAAATGATGGAGACCGATGCGGGCCAGGATGTTGAAAGCCAGACCGTGAAGGTGGCGCCAGAGCAGGTGGCGGCAACAATAGAGAAGACGAAGAAAGGTGAGGGATCTCGCGAACACATTTTTGTAATAGATATGAGATCGGAGAGTACGGGCGAGGATATGATCCAAGATAACGACCAAAAAGATGACCACGCTGCACCACGAGTGGAAGGTGACGACGAAGAGGACGCGCAACGACCGAGACGGTCAACGAGAGCAGTAATTAAGAAAACTGTGTTTGATGCGTAGGAAAGCCTTAGACAGGCATGGGCGTTTAAACGTTTCAGGTTATATTGATGTGTCGCCACAAATCATGGTGCGATATTCACCGGTCCTCACATGGGGTGTCTACGCATTTCTTGTTAAATTGATAGGTTGCCGCTGGGTACTATGTTAGACAGGAATGGGTGTAAACGCGTTTTTGGTTATATTGTTGTCTTAATGAAAGTGTTATTGTGACACTGCAATTCTCGAAACTGTAGTGCGGATAATAGAGGGTGCCCCATCTCGATACGTGTGTGTGTGTGTGTGTGTGTGTGTGTGTGTGTGTGTGTGTGTGTGTGTGTGTGTGTGTGTGTACATCTGTGTGAGTAGGCAGAGGTCGACTCGTCACCAGCGTTAGGTTGTATGTGTGGATTAAATTGTATGTGCGTGCTTGGTACGGTTTTATAATAAAGGCATATGAAAACACACTATATGGGGCACTTTGTCTGTCATGTGTCAAGGATACCTCTAATTTCAGAGAACTTGTTATGCCATCTTCTAGGGCGCTGCGAATAAACGTCTTAACCTAAATCCCCACGAAGTTAAAAACAGGAAACCATACTTACAAAATGAAAAAAAAAAAAAAAACACGAAAATATGTGAAACAGCAAGGCTGGAATTGTGAACTTATATTCTAAATACTGCCCAGAGTACTGAACATGAACATCAGAGAACTGATGGAAGCAGGGTTACCGTTAACCACCATAGATCGCGAAAAGTATCATTGATCTATTTGCTTTCAAAAAGTACAAGAAAATTGGGCAAGAATTGTAGTTGTGTTATGCGCCATTTTACGAGGAAGATGGAGGTCGGGGTGTTCATGTCAACTCGCTATAGTATCTTGTTGCCAGGATTAAGAAATTGAAATTTTCTCCGCCGTTTCGAGCATGCAAATATGGCAGGCCCCGATCACGATAGCTTCAGTGCGGCATAATGCATTGTCATGTGCAGAAAGGAGTAACATAGAAGAAGTACGAAGATGCAAACAGGGATGGACGATCCACTTAGCAACGGATAAGTTATCGGAGAAGGAGACGGTTGCGGTGCAACATTTACGAGATTCAATGCAAGCGGAGAATCGGACGGTCTGGACATCCATGTACAACGGGCCAACAAAAGAAGAACTAACACTAACCGGGCATGATTTGAGCTTGATACTGTATTAAGGCAATTGGTTAAACAATGAAATAGTTAACTTTTATTTGAACCTCGTAAGGCTTGACAACATGTGTCGCATAAGCCATCGCGAATGTGACAGTGGACAAGACGGAACAGTAGTAGAAGGAAAAGGGCGCATCCCGATAACAACAATTTTTAGTTCCTTCTTCTTCGCGAAATTGTTCGACGACGACATGCAATACCAATACAGCGCAGAGCAGAAGTGGATGACAGATATCAATGTGGGTGACGTGGACTTAATAATAGCTTCATTCCATGTCTGGAATTCCAACCATTGGACACTAGTAATAGCTGACCTAAGGCGCCAAAAAATGGAGTACTACGACTCGCTTACGCCTGACAAAGAATTGGCAAGGAAAGTGACAGGTGGTTTCGCAAGATTCTTGTTCGAAAGATCGGTTGAACAGGGAAAGGTGGTGGATACAAAAGATTTCAACCACATATGGAATGTGTCAGGCATTCCTAGACAGTGCGGCATTAACGAATGCGGTGTCTTTATGCTAACATATGCGTCACTGTTGGCAAGAGGATTTCTCCCGCCATTCAACTTCTCTTTCGACGACATCCACAATATAAGGGGACGGATCGCTTTAGATGTACTTGTCACACCGAAATAGGAGTTACTTGTGCAACAAATGACATTTGATAGACGACATTATGAAAGCAAAACATTTGTTTATTTTTTTGCAAATGTAAAGATATCATTGGCTCTGATGGATAGACACGCATGAAAATGTCCGAATGTATTTAACAAAGCAAGAACGCGACATGCCCGATTGAATACCATTCATGTGTTACTTCATATGACCTCGTACCCCTTACCCTTTACCCCTTACCCATATTACCCCTTACCCCTTACCCCTTACCCCTTTACCCCCTATACCCATAAAACATTGCATAAAATACATACACAAATCGTAAAAAAATGGACTTTCAATTTCGCGCAAAAAATAAAAAATGAAAGTTTTGACAAAATCGCAGTTATTGCGCACAACGCAACACGAATAACATGAATACAAAGATATAGCCTCGCAGACTTCATCGTGCTTCTTGCAAACGTTGTTGTAGACACGGATCACCCGCGATGTCCACCACACACACACTCACACATTTCGACACCAACTAAGCTAACTGACGTGGCAGCCATGACTGTCATCTCTCTCATCGCACGAGTAACACACGATCATGCACGAATCCACACAATACATGCTGACTACGCTAGGTAGACCCTGGATTGGGGATTGCTTACTAGGCTACGTAGGACTGCAATCTGGAGACTTCATACGGACTTTCTGGTAGGATTACCATAGACTGTCAAAAGTGAAGGGGGAAAAAAAAGAAAAATTGAATTTGACGGCCATAGCCCCAAAGTCGGCGCGTTCAGTTGTGTCCTTGTTTAAACACGTTGACAGAATACAAAAAATTAACAACATGATAAACACATACACAAAAAAAGTGAAAGAAAACGAAAAAATTAGGAGTTGAAGTTTCTACAACAGTATGAGATCTTGAAGAAGAAGACAAAGATGAAGAAGAAGATGAGGAAAGAGAGTTGAGGAGAAGGGAAAAACATGGACGACCCTAAACCCTAAACAACGATGATGAGTACGACGTACTCATCATCATCATCATCATCTCTCTCTCTCTCTCTCTCTCTCTCTCTCTCGGTTCAGTCAGGCGAAGTCGATCTCCTTTTTCCAAAATGCGCGCCAACTCCATAGCCTCCCAAGCCTTTTTCTCTATCTCCGCTGCCGGTAACCCTCGCATCTCCTCTCTCTCTCTCTCGATGTGCCTCCACTTGCAGTTGTTTTGTATCACTTTTCTCCAACTGCAACACACGGTCCGCCTCCTTTTCCAACTCCTTAGTCCTTTCCTCCTTAGCACGTCTCTCTCTCTCCACTCTCATCTGTAGTTTGTGTTCCCATCTCGATAAGATGGGAAGACAGTTGTATTCATCCACAGTACCGACGTGGCATACGGGGTCGCTTCTGCCACAAAGTCCTGCGGACGTGCTCCCCCTCTCCCCTTCCTGACGAGTTCCTCCGGACGTGCTCCCCCTCTCCCCTTCCTGACGAGGTC